AACTTCACTCCAATACATTTCCGTTCTCCTAGCTTCAAGATATTTTTTGCTTTCAGTAGCTAAGAGATCATTCTCCCTGAAATACGTAAGACGTTCCCAAATCTGTTTCATCCACTCAGTAGGAGTCTCATTCGATGAAATATTTCCCATCTTCACATATTCATCCCATTCAGCATCGGTACAATTGGTTCCACGTCTTTCGCTTATGCTAACCATTTTATGATCTATTTGTAGTGTTTTTAGAGATTATGTGATTTATATCGTATTTAGGGATTTAGACCTATTAGATTTAATAACTTTATACTATAAAATATCTGGATTCATTTTTTGTTGATTTAACATTTCAGTGTGTAAGGGTCTCCCCACACTTTACACCTTCTCTGAAAGATCCATTATATCACAAAAATAACCATTCTGTGACTGTCTTCAGTAATACAGATACTCTGAACCCATCCTACCCAATACATACAAAAAATTACTACTCAACATAAGCCAGTATTGGTAATATAATATCCGAAACTCTTCACAGCTCTAAAGATATATGTCTCGTATTTCCGGGCATGAAATCGAGGCCTATAAAATCGATATTATGTATAACTATATCGATGAATTGGAAATGATTTTGAGCTAAATCTGAGGAATAGAGTGTTTCTATCTGAGTTAGATACTAAAGAGCTAAAAGATAATGAGCTAGAGAGATTGATCTCGAGTTCAGGCATTGCTATTTATATAAAAAATTGCTCATATATATATTGTATATATATTATCCAGTATAAACAATAATTAATTGAGTATATGAATCAACTTCCGTGATTGTTACATGAAAATCTATTCCAGACATGTGGAATCTATTTCGGGCATATGAAATCTATTTCGAGCATGTGAGATCTATTTCGGATGTGCTACAAACATCGTGCAAACATGATTTAATTTTCCGGTACGACTTGATGCGCCCGATAAATAACGCGTGATGCTTATCCAGCAAAAAATATATACTGTATATTAATCATCAGATCATGTCATATAATCAGTGGTCTATGCTTTCACAGTTACTATTTGGATTGGATTCTGATAATTTTCCCAACAATTGAGACGATAAGTTTTTGTATTAACATAATCCCCACCACCCCATTCACTCTTTAT